AACCAGCTAAGATGGTCATTGGGCTTGCATTAAATTGATAAATCAGTTTAGAAAGAATTATTTTCTTGATAATATTAACCTTCCAAGCCATGAACATGGCATAGCTCTCTTTTTATTTAGATCTTTAATTTCTCTCAATGTTTTATAGTTTTCATAGTTTATAGTTATGTTGAGGCCTTGCCTATCTTTCATTAGAGTTATTATTTCTTGATATTTGGTGTTTTTGAATGAAAGAGTATTCTAAATTCATAATATTTAATTTTCTCGTTATATCTGGAATATAGAAATAAAAGTTATTTTTCCCTCCCTCTGGTGTATTGAGCCTGTACTGAGAAGCTTTGCTAAATACATTTATCTTTAGAATTTTGTATATTATAGAATCATAATTCTACAGGTAATGAAAGTTTTAGTTTTTCCTTTCCAGTCCTTTTTTCCTTTCTGCCTTATTACACTGGCTGGGTCCTGTAATACAATGTTGAATAGAATAATAGAATCCTTGGTTTTTCTTGATCTTGGGGGAAGCATTCAATACTTCATGATTAAATATTATGTTTGCTAAGGTTTTTCTGTAGATGAAAATTTCTTTATCAAATTAAGGAATAAATAAAATTTACCATGATACATTATTCTTTTTATATATTGCTGGATTTTATTTGCTGATGTTTTATTTTAAGATTTTTGTATCTATCTCATGAGAAAGAATTACCCTGTAGTTTTCCTTTCTTACAATATTTGTTGGGGTTTTGCCATCAAGGTTACATTGGCCTCATAAAAAGAAATGTTTTGGCCGGGCGTGGTGGCTCACACCTGTAATCCTAGCACTCTGGGAGGCCGAGGCGGGTGGATTGTTTGAGCTCAGGAGTTCGAGACCAGCGTGAGCAAGAGCAAGACTCTGTCTCTACTAAAAATAGAAAGAAATTAGCTGGACAACTAAAAAATATATAGAAAAATTTAGCCGGGCATGATGGCGCATGCCTGTAGTCCAGTTACTCGGGAGGCTGAGGCAGTAGGATCACTTGAGCCCAGGAGTTTGAGGTGGCTGTGAGCTAGGCTGACACCACGATACTCTAGCTGGGACAACAGAGCAAAACTCTGTCTCAAAAAAAAAAAAAAAAAAAAAAAAAATGTTTCGTCCTTTTCTCTTCTCTGAAAAAGCTTACTGTCACTTTGCTTTTTTTTTCTTCCTTATATATGAACAGATAATCATAAGCTTTTACCATGATATTTTTTTCTATTTCATATTTTTAGTCACCACAGAGCCTAGTGGATTACACCTAGTGATGCTTAGTTTGTTGAACAAATAAGCATCTTTTCCTTGTTGATTCCAGTGTTTTACTAACACTTCTTTCTCACTGCTGTCAAAGCAGATCCCGTCCTTCTCAGGTCTGGAGTTCTGCAGCCTCACCGTTCACTTCCCTTTTTCCCCAGTTGTCTCCTTGAAACCATACTTCCATTGTCAACAACTAATCTTTTTCAAGCACTCTCTTTTTACTGTTTTAAATTGAATTTTAATTTTCGTTAAAGTAATAACTGTAAATATTTATGAAAATATTTGTCTTATAACAAGAAAAACAAGTCTACTGCTATCTTCTTTCTTGCTCAGTTCCCACTCTCAGAGGCATCCACTTTCACTTGTTTATAAATAACTTTGCTTTAAACTCCTATTTCTTGATTTCTCAATTTTAGACATCATAAGTTGATTTCCTTAGATGGAAGATAAAGATTTTGCTATCTTAAACCATATGTCCTGAAAATATCCATATGAATTTCTTTCCATCCTCCTGGCATATTTATGAACTTTCCAGAACTCAAGGTATAAGTTTCCGGATAGAAAGGACCTAGTGCCATAATTTTTAAGTCTAGACTTTATTATTTATGGCTATGAAAATATTATACTATTAGCTATATTTCCTTCTATAACTTTTTTCTCCCAGCAGTTAATACTCATCCAATGTAAATATTGTTTCAATACATGTAGATGCATCAAGCAGTCCATCTCTTTTTCTTTTTTAATTGAAAGCATACCTCCTGGATTTCTTCATCATTTTGCTACAGTCTGGATTTGCTTGCTTCCTAGGCCAACTTCCTTTCTTCCTTATCTTGGGATTGCACTTTCCAGTCTCCTTGGTGCTGAACCTGCAGTTTTCTGGACTCTCTTTCTTTTGGTTAATTCCCTTTTCTTAATACAGACCATCTTCTAGCACCTCCTTGAAAAGGGGCTCATAGGAGATTAAAGTTCTTGATTTTGTTTGTTTGAAACTTTTTTCCTCCTCACACTTGGTTGATAATTTGTTTTCATGTTTTATAGCAATTTTCTCTCAGAATTTTGGAGATACAACTCCATTGTCTTTGAACATCTTGTGTCATTGAGAAGTACGATGTCGTTGTAATTCCTTAATCTTTATATGTGATTCTTTATTTTTCCCTCCAGAAGCTTTTAACATCTTCTCTTTTTCCCCAATGTCCTCAAATTTGATAATGTGCCTTTGTGCCCTCCCTCCCTCCCTCCTTCCTTCTTTCCTTTCTTCCTTCCTTCCTTCCTTCCTTCCTTCCACTGGTTACTAACTAGGTGGGTCCTTTCTATCTGGAAACTTACAGCTTGAGTTGTAGAACATTTTCTTATATTTTTTTTTTTGATAATTTATTTTCCATTTTCTCATTCTGGAACTTTTATTTTGGTGCTGGACCTTCTTGACTGTAACTGTATTTTTCTTACCTGTTGTCCATCTCTTTGTCTTTTGGTTCTACTTTCTAGGAGCGCTTCTTAAATTTATCTTCCAACCCTCTTAGGGAATTTTTTTTTAATTTCTAAGTATAATGCTTTTAGTTTCCAAGGGCTCTTTTTTGTTCTCTGAATGCATCTTATTCTTTAGTTTTTAAAAATTGCTATCAACTTATTTTCTTCTGTTCTTAATTGTGTCTTTTTTTCCAAGTTCCTTTGTTCTATTTGTCTTGGGCTTCAAATTTTAAGGTAAATTTTTTTAAAACAATTTGGTAATCCTTAATTGTCTGTTTATATTTAGTACGAGGCACTAAAAATGCTGACTTATGCTGCTGCTTGTGACTCGTAAGTTTCTTGTAGAGATCTGGCTGTTTTCTAATGGGACTCCCGGGTGACATCTGGAGTTCTTTACTCTTGGATATTAAGTCTTACTGAGTAATCTCACTTGAACTTTGATGAATTTTTTTTTTTTTTTTTTTTTGGGAGACAGGGTTTCGCTCTGTTGCCTAAGAAAGTACAGTGGTGTTATCATAGCTCACTGCAACCTCAAACTCCTGGGCTCAAGCAATCCTCCTGCCTCAGCCTCCTGAGTAGCTGGGACTACAAGTACATGCTACCACACCTGGCTAATTTTTCTAATTTTTTTGGTAGAGACAGAGTCTGGCTATGTTGCTCAGGCTGGTCTTGAACTCCTGGCCTCAGGTGATCTGGATCCTGCCTTGGGCCTCCCAAAGTGCTAGGATTACATGTGTGAGCCACCTTGCCCAACCCTTCAGGATTTTTTTTATTGTTTTTGTTCATTGTTTTGTTTTTGTTTTTTCCTATAGGGAAATCTTCCAGTCTCATGCATGAGGATAAAAGTGGGCTACCTGGTGTTCTTGAAGGATGTTGGAGAGGGTCTCACCAATTAGAAAGTAGACTTCTAAGTAATTCCCCTGTGACCCATTTATGGCACTCTTTGTTTTTGCCTAGTATATTAAAGTTTGGTTCACCCTCTTTAGAAAGCATATCTTCAGTCTTCTGCCAGAGTAAGGGAGGAGATCTAGGAGCTGCATTAACTTCTTATACATATTTTTAATTACTACTCTCCTTTCAACCCCAACCATATAACTCCTACCTATGCTCATTTCTAAAATACCTGGTGCTTCCAGTTTCTGAGCTAATTGGTTTCATTGTTGGCTGCTCTGGGCTGCTATGTTATTATCCCTCATCTATCTGTTCTGCAACTTCCAAATTTCATATCACTTCTCTGCTCTTTGTCCTTCTTTGTCCTTACCAGTTTATGTCTTTTTTTTCCTTAACCACCATTGTAGTAGAGGTTTTGGAGGGAACATAAGTAAACTTGTGCTTAACCTACCATGGATCTGAATGTTGACTTAGGCAATGCTTTCCCATCTGGAATGTCTTCCCACTTTTCTTCATTTATTAATATTACAACTTTGCAGTATACTTGCCTATTTCCTAGAACTTTCCTTGGTATTTCCAATATATTAACTAATGTCTTTCTTTGATTGAACTCAGGACTTAGGAACCATGAAAACTTTCTGTAAATACTTGAAGGACTCTTAGGGAGAAGAGGGAAGGAATGAGTATATTTTTCTTTTTGAGTTAGAGAGAACCATGAACAGGAGAGGTACATGGACACAGATTTCAGCCCACTGTATGAAAGAACTTTCTCACTGTCTAACAGTAGAACAAGTTCGTTCTTCAGAGTATGGGTGGCTCTGTGATGTGGAAATAATTCTTACCTTGGGGTGAGGTTTGCACTAGGTAAATTCTCAGTCAGTCATTTTTTTCAAACTGTATTCTGAGAAGCCAGGTGGAGTGAGGGTAGAGTTGTTCTTTGTGGATGCCTCAGGTGTCCTCCACAAGTGGGGGACACCAGGACTACAAAGTTCTGGGTTCCCCACCACTGCTTCCTCCAGAGAAGTGCCATTTTCATGTGTTTTACATATAAGCTAAGATTTTTCATAAAATTTAATTTGAAAAATGGACTCTGATAATTAAATTTTTTAACTACTGCTCTAAATTCTACATTTCTATGAACTAGAGTATTTGCTGTGTATTGGGCACTTACTTGGTCTTGATTGCACATGAATGTCTATTTATTGTCTATTTTCTGGTGTCCGTATATCAGCATGACTTTCAAATTTCATGATAGAGAGCTTAACATATTTTCCTTTTCCATGCTTTTAGAATCTTATTGGTAGTCATGAAGTAGTTGAAAGTATGATATGACCCACAGGAATCATTCTGTTGAATTTTCTCCCTTTTCAAGGTGCCAACCGGATAGTTTTAGAAGACTCCAATATCTTGCAGCCTGTGGGACTGACTGTGTTTGAAAACTGGCTCTATTGGATTGATAAGCAGCAGCAAATGATTGAAAAAATTGACATGACAGGTCAAGAGGGTAGAACGAAAGTCCAGGCTCGAATTGCCCAGCTTAGTGACATTCATGCAGTGAAGGAGCTGAACCTTCAGGAATATAGTAAGTGCTGATGGGGTAATGCTAATTTGGAGGACTTAATGTTCATTTTAAGAAATGTGTCTTTTTCTGTCTTTTTGACCTCTTTTGTCTTAAAGAGTTTCATTCACTTTTAATTTTGTCATTTTTTTGAACTCTTCATGCTTTTAAAGCCTGTATCAAGCTCACCTGGGAGCTTTTTCAAATTAAACATATTCTTCTCCTTATAAACCAGAAATGGAGGAAAGGCATGGTCTTGCTCATTTAAAATAATTTCTTGGCCGGGCACGGTGGCTCACGCCTGTAATCCTAGCTCTCTGGGAGGCCGAGGCGGGTGGATTGTTTGAGCTCAGGAGTTCGAGACCAGCCTGAGCAAGGGCGAGACCCCATCTCTACTAAAAATAGAAAGAAATTAATCGGACAACTAAAAATATATAGAAAAAATTAGCCGGGCATGGTGGTGCATGCCTGTAGTCCCAGCTACTCGGGAGGCTGAGGCAGGAGGATCGCTTGAGCCCAGGAATTTGAGGTTGCTGTGAGCTAGGCTGACGCCTGCCACGGCACTCTAGCCCGGGCAAAAGAGTGAGACTCTGTCTCAAAAAAAAAAAAAAAAAAAAAAAAGATTTCTCCAGGTTACAATGACTACGGCTGTCATGCCTTCTCTTTATTTCTTTCAGTTCCTTTAAGAATACCGTGGTAGTATAAAGCATCTATTTCTTTTCTTCCCTCTGTACCCCATAGTTTGAACAAAATTAAAAATTATATTTTATATAATGAGAAATATAGTTACATGGATTAACCTTATTCTTAAGAAAAACAAACTAAACGTTAGTGTGTGAACATAGAAAAGACTGTGGTTAAATCAGTAAGTGCTTGTTTTTTCCCCCTCTTGGATAAATTTTTTAATTCCCAGCTCAGAAAAGTAGTCATAAATTTTTTTTAATTTTATTGAAAACTTTTGAAAATGGCTAATCATTTTGGCCTAGTTTCTTGTTAATACATGTCTATCATCAAAGTACCCTCATAGCAATCACTATTATAGGTCTTACATGATGGTACCAGGAATGCTAATGTCAGATGGAGTACTAAAGAGAGAACTGTTGAAACTCATTAACTTCTCAGCACAGTGCTTTCAAATCTAATCGAAACATGAAAGGAGAATAAAGAAATGAGACTATCATTGCTTGTTCAGTTCATGTGTTCATTATGTTGCTACCATTCGTGAACTTAGAAGTAAAGTTAGAGGTATTTGAGAATTAGAAAGTTAGAATTGTTGTCATTTTATGTTGTGACGTGTAATGCATACTGAACGTTTAATAGAAATAAGGTAATAATGACATAATACCTAAGTTATTTATTCAGTTGATATATGAATATTTTACTACAGAAAGTCTCAATAGAGGTTTCAGAATTTCACAGGGAGTGTCTTCTTTACGTAACTCAACATTTAAATATGGCTTTATATTTGGAAAATCATTTTGTAAAATTCCTAATAACATTAAAGGGAATGAAATTTTTGATGGAATGAGATTACATCTAAAGTGTCATGGAATTAAAAAGTTGAGAAACACTGCTATCTATGTAGGTTGTACATTTAATATAATTTACGATGTCTGTTTTATTTTTTCAGTTTGCAGTAATTGTGCCTCGGATAAACCTCATTGGCTATGATACTGCCACTGTGCAAAGCTTACAATGTCTGTTTTAGACAGACAATATGCCCATTTGTAGATAGCTGAATCCCCCAATCTTATCAGCATAAACTGAAGGAAGACCAGTGTTATTTTAGAAGAGTCAGATTTTAAATGGTGACTACATTAGATGTTGATATTTTGTAATGACATGTGTCAAGTTGCTTTTAACCCAGGTTAGATAGGAAATTCAAAACAATGATTTCTTTAAACACAACTTGTGAAACAGACTTTGAAAAATTGCCTAATGGTTTGTTTATTTAACTTACCCCGAATATGAAGGAATTAGACATTTGTAATATTGCAAGTTATCTTTTGCAATTGACCAAGCAAATAATTTTGTCTGTCTCTGAATGGTTCAGTTCCATGTGTCTCTAAGGTTTTTCTTCTAATAAGTCTTTAATTTTCAATGGATTTCTCATTAAAATACAATTTTTGAGTGAAAGCATCTTTTATAAATATAGAATTTGAGTTAAAATCTTTAATATAGGAGAATTCTTATATCTTAAATAGAATGCTATCCATGTCTCAGCATTCTCCCTAGTAGTTTTTTAGTTTCAATCGTCAACTTTTTGTCTTCACAAAAATTAACGATTGTGCCATTACCTTGCTTAAAATATTTTGTGTATAAAGACAATGGCCAGCTGGATATAGTGGCTCACGCTTGTAATCCCGGCACTTTGGGAGGCAAGAGGCCAAGGTGGGAGTATTGCTTGAGGCCAGGAGTTTGAGGCTACAGCCTGGGCAACATAGACACTGTCTCTACAAAAATAAAAAATAAATAAAGACAGTGTTTAGATAGAAATATTGTCTTGTCGGTTGTGTGAAGATGGAGTGAGGAATCATTTGTGTAGAAATTAAAGTCCAAGCTGATTTTATGTTTGGTTTTCTTCGTAATTTATAAATGATTGATTTTGACAGAGTTTTCCCTTTTTCTTTTTTCCTTTCTTTTCTTTCTTTCTTCTTCTTTTTTTTTTTTTTTTTGCAGGACAGCACCCTTGTGCTCAGGATAATGGTGGCTGTTCACATATTTGTCTTGTAAAGGGAGATGGTACTACAAGGTGTTCTTGCCCCATGCACCTGGTTCTGCTTCAAGATGAGCTATCATGTGGAGGTAAATATGTTGTAATTTCCTCTTGCAAGCCTAGATGCCAGCATTAGTCTAGTCTTCTATAATTGGGCCGTGAAGTTGTTCTGTCTCCTAACCTAATTGGTTACTTGTATTCCATTTATCTGTACTACATTAGTCTTTTGGGTTATTCTTTTTCCTTTTTTTCCTTTTTTACCCAGTCCCTTCATCTCCCAGCCTATGGTAACCACCATTTTACTCTTTCAATGATTTTGAATTTTTTACACTCCACATGTAAGTAAAATCATGCAGTATTTGTCTTTCTGTGCTTCGCTTATTTCACTTAACAGTATGCCCTCAGGTTCGTCTGTATTGTTATAAATGACAAGATTTTCTTCCTTTCTTTAAAACTGAATATTTTCCTTTGTATGTATTAATATATTAGCACATTTTTCAGCCTGTGAAACTCTGCCTGTGAATACGTGTATTTCCTAATAATAATGTAGCTTCTCTATCCCCTGAGAGCATAACAAAATCAATTAATTCTACCTCCTATAATTTTCATCCACTGAATTCTAGTAGATTCTATCAATTTATGTATCATTGTCAGGAGTATGTCCAGTGAAAAGAATATTTTTTGGTTCGAATCCTCCAATAATTTCCCATTGTTTTTCTTATTTATCAGCAAAAAAAAAGATTTTTAAAAAGATATCACTGAGTCTAATGATAATGTACTAAAATTGGTTTGATCACTCATGGAGCATAGCAAATTGATACATTCCTTTGTTAAATCATAGTGTGGCAGTCTCAAACATTGTAATAGTATTCATACCCTTAATTCAGAAATCCTCCTTTTGGTGATAATTCTAAGTTAATTCAACTGAAGGAAAAAGACTACATCATGCTGTTAACTACAGTGGCAAAAAAATTAAAAACAATCTAATATCTAATGGTAGGAAAATTATTAAGTAAAATAATTGAGTTTATTCAGCTATTAAATGTCATGATCATGAAGTTGGTGTAAAAATGTTGCCAAAATGCTGGCTCAAGTGGGGGCAAAAAGTTATTAAAATGGTGTTTTCTACTGCAGTGACAAGTACATAAAGTATATATTTCTGTAAAGAAAGATCGAAAGAAAATGTGTTCTCAAAATATAAAAATTGTTGATCAGGTGGGTAGGATTACAAATAAATTTTATTCTTCTGACTTTAAGTTAAAAAAAATAACTAATGTATGTATTGAGTAGCTGCTGTGGACACTCTGCTTGGATGATAGGGGATTTGAAGATCTTTGAGAAAGAGCTTACAATCTAGTTAGGGAGATCAGACATGAGCACAATAAAAGTTAAGCTCTGGTACTTGAATTTAAAAAATTAGCAAGAATTGCACAATAATGTGAATGTACTTAATGTCATTGAGCTGTACCCTTTAAAATTGGTAAATTTAAAGTTATGTATATTTTACCACACAAACCAAAATAGCATGTGTTTCCAAATCAGGTTGCTAGACTGTTACTTTAGAAAAATAACCCCGTTATGGTAATGATAACATAGATAAAACTGAGAATCTTCCAGTTAGAAAATGCCTTTTAAAGGGCCTTTGATTTTTTTTTTTTTTGCTTGCACATTTAGTGATTATTATTTAGTTCAGATATGTTTTTTTTTTAATATATGTATAAATGGGTAGTTAGTGAGCTTTGACAGACATATACAGCTGTGTTAGCAACACCCAAATCAAGATAACAGAACATTTCCATTAAGAAAAGTACCCTCATGTCCCTTACCAGTCAGTTCCATTCCAGAAGTAACTATTGTTCTGATTCTTATCCCCATACGTTAGTTTTGCCTGTTCTTTAACTTCAGGTAAATGAAATCATGATGTATGTACTCTGTTGTGTCTGGATTCTCTTGCTTAGTATATTTTTGAGATTCATTTGTACAGTTAAGTATATCAGTAGATTTTCCTTTTTATAGCTGAGTAGTGCTTTATTATCTAATACTACAATTTATTACTCTCCTGTAAGGGACATTCTAATTGTTTTCAATTTTTTGTTATTAAGAATAAAACCAACTGGGCGTGGTGGCTCACGCCTGAATCCCAGCACTTTGGGAGGCTGAGGTGGGAGGGTCACTTGAGGCCAGGAGTTTGAGGTTGCAATGAGCTATGATGACGCTACTACACTCTAGTCTGGGCCACAGAGCGAGACCGTGTCTCAAAAAAATAAATAAATAAATAAAAATAAAACCAGAACCGGGTGTGGTGGCACGTACCTGTAGTCCCAGCTACTTGGGAGGCTGAGGTGGAAGGATCACTTGAGCCCATGAATGCCAGGCCAGCCTGGGCAACATAGTGAGACCCCCCATCTTAAAAAAAAAAAAAAGGAATAAAACTGCAATGAACATTTTTGTACATGCCTTTTTGTGATTTAATATGATTTTACAGTGGCGATAAATACAAAATCTCAATTTCTCTGCCAGACCTTCAAAATATGATCTCATTTGAGCTTGTCTTATCTTTCCATTTCATTTTATCTTTCTTTCCAACTTGCTCACTTTATTTTTGTTTGGCTGTTTAGAGTTTGAGGATCACTATGGCATGTTCTGCTTTGTTTTGCTTTGTTTCTGTGACTTTACTTGTACATATTTCTCTTCTTGCATGCCCATCCTAAATCTTACTCCAAGGTGCAGCTCATTTCCTCATAATCTGTGAAATCTTCTCTAGCTGTTATTGTTCTCCCCTCTCTCTGAATTGTAGCACTTGTTACTGCAGTTGTGTGACATACAGTTCACAGTAATGTCATTTGTTTTATGTTTATTAGTTACTTCTATCTTCAACCAAATCCAAAGCTCTTCAAGGACATAGATCATATTTCATCTGTTTTAATTCTCCACATGATACAGTGCTGAATACATAATAGGCTCTTGGAAAATAAATCCCTCAAATTCCCCATGTAAAGTGTTTACCTGTAATCTGCAGTATTTTCTCTTTTAAAGATAAAAGGTATTATATGGTCATGTAATAACATCGTGTTTTCTAGAGAATTTATTAACAGATAAATTTTTAAAAGAAGTCAGCCTGTGATACAGCAGTAAAGGCAATGGGCTAAAAGTAAGGACTCCCTTCTAGTACTATCTTTTCAATTTTTTTTTAACTCATCCCTTATAGGAAGCTCTGTGACCTTGGGCACTTAACTCTCTGTCTGACCCTCAGTTTCCCCATTTGCAAAACAAAGAATGGCAGTTCTTAAATGATTTGGTCTCTACGTATTTTTACATTTTAAAAAATTATTCAAGACCTCAAAGAGCTTTTGTTTGCATAGGTTATATTTATGTACTATCAATAGAATTAAAAACCAAGAACTTATTAAAAATATTTATTAAAAATAATAAACCTTGCTTTCATAAATGAAATATTTTAAGAAAATTATGTTTTCTAAAGCTAACTAATTTTTGTGAGAAGAGTGGCATTGTTTGTACATTTCTGTGAATATTCTTAGTGTTGGACTGGATTCTCATTTCTACTTCTATATTCAATCTGTTGTAATGTGTAGTTTTGGTTGAAATGAAAATTAGGCCGTAGATATATAGTTAGAAAATGGAGGACTGTGATAGCCTTTTCAAATAATCTTGGATTCTACATTGCATCTTGGCAAGTGATAGTTTCCTGTAGGTTTAGTTGCAATGTGGAATTTGAGACCATATCAGTTCACTTTTCATAGTCTCTCACATTAAAAACGTACTGATCTATTTTATACTCTGAATAGATCTTTTACTGAGGCATGATTTTGTAAACTCACACCTTGGTCATTTGGAAATATTGGGATTCCATTCAGAAATTGCCAGATCTTCAGATTTCAACCCTTTTCATTATGCAATATCAAAAAAATCACGTGTTAATATCACCATCAGTGTCATCAGAAATACCTTTTAAGTACTGGGAATTTGTTTATAGTGTTGGATACAAGTTTTCCAAAACTCTAATTTCTGATTGAAAGCTCCAGTTTTATCATTTGCCACAAATGCTATCTATTGTTTTCCTTGAAGTAAGAGACTCACTTGGTTCATTTTTTAAAAAAAACTTCCTGCCAAATACCTAAGTGTAAATAACTACTGTATAGTTTACCTGTCAGTCGTTCTTTCAGGTAAAAATGGTGTTCCATTTTGAGTTGAGTTTACAAATCAAATAAATGCTTTCCCATTAGAAACATCACACTTAGGTTTTCAGTGTGAGCTTTATGCATATTTCCCATTTTATCACACGGAACATTGAAGAGACACGTGCTCAGGGATTGATTTTAACATAATTAATTTTTTTTGATTCATCAAGAACATTCTTAAGTAAAATGGTTTTTTTTGTTTGTACGTTTAAACTGTGAGTGTGTGACTGCATAGAGTACAGTGACTATTAGTACAGATTTTTGCCATAATCTTGAACCCTCAAAGATGCCAGTGGTTTTACCCAGCATTTCTTGTGTAGCATCAGTGCAAATACAGTGCAAACAAACAAATGACATCTTCGTGTTATTATAAAAATAGTTTTGACCTAGTGGGTTCCCTGAAAGAGGTCTTAGAGACCCCCAGGGGATTTGTAAACCAACTTTTGGAACCTCAGAGCTAGAAAACTTGTGAGTTCTGTGCTAACTTTAAAATATTTGTAGGTTAGTGATTATAGTAATTATCCCTAGGTTATGTGTGAGATTGTAATGGATTGCAAATATTATAATCCTCCTTGAATTACAGTGTATGAGGAAACTTGTGCCTCACAGTTTTATAGGTTAGTGAATCTAAATGAAGTAGTATAAAAACTTGATTTCTTCTCTGATTAGATGAGATAGTTTACAAATTGTATTTATTATAAAGTGTTCGTATATGTTAAATACTAAATGAGCTTCACTCAGCTGTGTTTGTACCTCTCTGTGACCATTATTGTATTTTTGTCACTCTTCTTCCCCTTGTTCCTTTGAAGAACCCCCAACATGTTCTCCTCAGCAGTTTACTTGTTTCACGGGGGAAATTGACTGTATCCCTGTGGCGTGGCGGTGCGATGGGTTTACCGAATGTGAAGATCACAGTGACGAACTCAATTGTCCCGTATGCTCAGAGTCCCAGTTCCAGTGTGCCAGTGGGCAGTGTATTGATGGTGCCCTCCGATGCAATGGAGATGCAAACTGCCAGGATAAATCAGACGAGAAGAACTGTGAAGGTATCCAGAATTCCTCCGTGCCTGGTCATACAGTCCTTTTTCCATTAAGTTATTTAAAATTCAGAGTGTTGTTTTGGCTCAGTGGTAAATTGGGAGTTTTCAAGTATACATGACCATATCCTGTCTGAATATAGTACCATGTTCCAAGTTGTTTTAATTCATTTCACATGTATAAGATTTATACAGATTAATAAGCTTTGAAAAATTGAGAAATAGGAGATGAGGCTGTCAGTATGTAGAAATAGTCCCTATATCCAATGAACTCTGAATTAGTGGATTTATTTATTACAATATAAAATATTTCAGAGTCTTCTCTTTCCCTTACTAACACAGTAAAAGCCATAAAGTTCTCTAGATTTCTTTAGGGTAACCAACAAAATTATTAGTGAAAGAGGAAATTTAATGTGAAGAATAAAATAGGACATTTCCTACTGGATTTCTTTATCCACTTTTTTTTCCCTTTTTCCCTCTACCAGTGGAACTCCCCAGAGAATAATGTTTCCATTATTTCTAAAAATCTAATTTGTTTTTCATTTACATGCAGAAAGTACCTTTTGACTTCTGCAAGAGTTTGACTTTCTTATGAAAACTGTTTGCATTTTGTTCCAGTGCTTTGTTTGATTGATCAGTTCCGCTGTGCCAATGGTCAGTGCATTGGAAAACACAAGAAGTGTGATCATAACGTGGATTGCAGTGACAAATCAGATGAACTAGATTGTTGTAAGTAGTGCTAAGATCTTGTAAATTACTTGGAGAATTTTTAAAATACTTTTTTCATTATGTGTGAGGTTTATTTATCAAGATTTCCTTATTAAGTAACAAGTATTAATATTAAGCTAATTATTTGTGGCAGGGATTTTTTTTTAATGCTTTGCTTTCAATAATTCCTCAAACACAACAATTTTCTTACGCACAGAAATCTTCACAGAAATATTTAGTAAAGCACCAGAAAAGAATAAATGTTTTACTACACCAAAATTATAAAATTCTCAAATAATTTAGATACATGGAAATTAATTGGTGGTCTAAACTTAGTTTCTGAACGTTAGTTCCACGTTTAACTATCTCTGTTTTCTTGAAGTGTTTCTATCAGTTTCTCAGTGGCTAGAAGACTTCAAGAGCTTTCTTAAAATGTAGCCTAAGGGTACTTTGGGCCAACATATACCCCTAGACTTTGAGACCCTTGGCTGAACAACCTACAGTTTCTATAAAATTCATAACTATTGACTAATGCCCTAACATACAGTGTATCACAAATTGATAAGCTTAATTCTGAATAGAATTTAGCATAAACCAGGTCTACCCTGTCAAACTTATTTGATAAAATTTAGACTCATTTAGGACTCATTTAAAAACTCTTTCATCTGTAATGATGACTTTAAGCTGGTATTTTTACAAAGTTCAAATGAAGGCTGGGTGCAATGGCTCACACCTGTAATCCTAGCACTTTGGGAAGCCAAAGGTGAGAGGATCAATTGAGACCAGGAGTTCAAGACCAGCCTGAGCACATAGTAAGACTCCGTCTCTACAAAAAATAGAAAAATCAACTGGGTGTGGTAGCACACCCCTGTAGTCCCAGCTACTTGGGAGGCTGAGGCAGGAGGATAGCTTGAACCTAGGAGTTTTAGGTTGCAGTGAGCTATGATCACACCACTGTACTCTAACAACAGAGTGAGTCCCTTTCTCGAAAAGATAAAAATTTTAAAAAAAAAGTTCAAGTGGGATTACTCAATTAAGACAGAATCTATTCATTTATTCAACAAAGCATTAGACACTGCTATATGCTGAGGATACATGATACCTGCACCAAATTTCTCAGAGTCCTCTATAGTTGAGGTAGCAGTAAGAATATAATTTGAATCCTAGCTCCTTTCCCTTACCAACAAATTATTTGTTCTTGTTAAACCTTAGTTTCCTCATCTTTAAAATAAACATAATGATACTTAGGCTGGTGACTGTGAGAAAATTAAATGATTTAATGTATATATCATTTAGCCTGGCAAACACATAGCCTGGCTCATAGTAGGTACTATTGATAATAAACTGTGATAAGTAATAGGAAAATTGCTGTAATAGAGATCTATGCAAGTAATAGTATAAAGGAGAGAGTATGAACTTTTTATGAACAAAGATGGAGTTGATCAAGGAAGCCCCCTTAGAAAAATGGTACTTAAGATCAGGTGTTGATCAATGAATAGTGTTTGTTATGCAGATGAGGGAAGAAATTGCATTCCAGGCAGAGGGACTATACTGTTCAAAAGCAGAAAGGAATGAAACACATCTTTTGAAAACTGCATGTAAATGGGACTGCCAAAATATAATGTATCTCTTGAGGGGTTTCAGCAAGAGAGAACATAGTTAGAGGTAAGGTCATGGAGGACTTTGCTCTTCTTCTAAAAAGTGTAGGCAATATTCCATTAACAATGGAGAGTCATTTGAAATTTCAAGAATAAGACTAGCATGGCCAAGGGAATACAAAAGCTGTAAAGCAGAGGAGTTGGAGGTGGTAAGATTATAGGCAGGGAAATTTATTAGATTGGTTGCTTTCAAGCTTCTTTTGATCACATCAAGATGAATGCAAAGATGTGGGTGCATGCATAAAACACCAAAAGTGTCACACAACAGTATTTGCCCATATTATATAGAATACATTGTGATATTCTCTGTTTTATTTTTGTAAATGCTGGTTGCAACCTACTAGATCATTCTTTCTGCTAATGACTTCTATCCTGTAATTTATAAAGGATGCTTTTGGAGTTCAGGCAGAAGATGATGAAGATCTAAATCAAGAGGAAGTGCAGCAGTGCTGGAAAGGAAGGGATAGATTTCAGAGTTATTTCAGAAATAGAATACAGAGGAGTTGGCAACCACTTAGATATAGTTTATAAGTTTTATTTGACCCACAGGTGCCTCATTGGCATCATCAGTCAGGATATATAGCAGGGACTGAAAACTGAAGTGTACTATGCCATATCCTGGCTGCAGGTGTAATATTTGGGTGATGAATGTTTTTTGTTAATTTGTTTTTGTTTTTAATTTAATTTAAATGCCTTTAGGCAGGCATGCACCTTACAGTTTGCCACAGGCCCCATCACTCTTCATTGTCCTGTAGTAGACTACTTCATTCACTTATGATCTGCTTTACCCCTGGAGTCTAAAAGAAATGACAGATGATAGTAAAGATGAATTCAGTTTGAGATATGTTACATTAAAGATACCCATTGGATACCCCATTGAAGCTGTTCAGGAAGTTGTTGATTATATGGGTCTGTGGCTCAGGAGACAAATTTGGTGCTCTTCAGTTTGTTGATGATAATTAGAACTGCGGCAGTGGATGAAACCTCCCTGGAGAGTAAGCAGAAGAAGAAAATAGTAAATAATAGACAGAACTCTCTGTACTTAAGAGGCAGGCAGAAGAGAATGATGCCAACAAAGGTAGCAAAGAAAGAATAATCAGAAATGGTAAAATGAAGAGAACAGTGTCTTGGAAGGATATTGATCAGACATTTTTGAGAAGCAAACAGGAACCAGCATTGAATGTATGGAGAGATCAGTGAGATGAAAAGTTTATTGAATATGGCAAGTAGGAGAACTTTGACCTTGACTGAAGCAGTTCCAGTGCAGTCGTGAGGGTGGAAGCCTCATTTCAGCGAGTTAAGATGTGATGCGGAGACTAGGTATTGAGGGTAGTGAATGTAAACTATTCTTTCTTGAAGCTTGACCTTAGAAAGGAATAAAAACAATGGCGTGGTTGCTCACAAGAACTAAGGAGAGTCTATGCCTCTGGCCACAGACGAAATTTGTAAATGATGGTCCCTATGTATTATGTAACTTAGTGATGCCATGTTCAGTCATTTCTTTCATATAATCTGACAGAGGATGAGTTTAGCCGTGTGGGATGGGAGATTTTGAGGTAAGATGAAGCAGAAAGAAGTTTCTTAAAGGACCCGCAAATGTGAGATGTAATTTAACTGTTCAGAATGGAAGCATTTTCCTTCTGAATAGAAGAGTAATGCTCTAAATTTGATAAGCCCATTTGCTCTTTCCCTCTGCCTCGTAAAGCCTCAGGTAGCTCAGGGATCCAGTGAAGGGAAATACCATGGGCAAGATCCTCCTGCACTCCGGCCTTTCTCTGTGAGTCCTCCAGTAATCAAGTACTGGAGACCTAAGTTCCTCGCTCTCAGGCAGCGAGACAGCCTGAAGGCAGCAGCATATTAGGTCTGAGAGCTAGGCTCATCTTTAGTTCCTAATTTTCCTTCACCTGGCCTAATTGTCACTGTTCACATCTAAAATCTAACACATGGCCAGAACTGCTTTTGGTTTCTTCACCATTCCAGGTAAAACATCAAGTGTTTCAGGCCCTTCTGGCCCTGAAATTTCAAAATAACCCTGTTGATTTTTGTGGTGTACAGAATTAAGTAGAATAGATTTTATCTGTGTATGTATTATATTTAAAGCTTTTCATGGTGTTTAAATCTATACTTACCATCTTCGTTTCTATCAATTTACAATTATACTTTCCAATCTATTTTATTTCTGCCTTCACTTAAGGGTAGTTCGTTTTGATTCCTAATGATGACATTTAATACATATGTCCACGGGGCATGGTGTATATGTATTCATAAAAAAGAAAAATGTTTATGAGTTATCTTCATTAGGCTAAAACTTCACATTCTACTAGCAAGCCCTCTTTTTGATCACTATTTTGAATATGCAGTTGTTTTTCCATAAGATAATTGTGCTGCATTCTCCATTTTAGATCCAACTGAAGAGCCAGCACCACAGGCCACCAATACAGTTGGCTCAGTTATCGGAGTAATTGTCACCATTTTTGTGTCTGGAACTATATATTTTCTCTGTCAGAGGATGTTGTGTCCACGTATGAAGGGAGATGGGGAAACCATGACGAATGACTATGTAGTTCATGGACCAGCTTCTGTGCCCCTTGGTTATGTGCCACACCCCAGTTCTTTGTCAGGATCTCTTCCAGGTGAGTTAAGACTGATCCATTGAGAGTTAAGTCTTAGGTCTTGACAAGACTGCCAAGTTCCATTATAGAAACAGGGTACTGCCTAGAGTCAATTTCAAAGTAGATTACTTTGGGTTTAAAAGATTATAAGAGCACTCACGCCTGTAATCCTAGCAGTTTGAAGGGGGCTGAGGCAGGAAGATCACTTCAGGCCAGGAGTCAAGACCAGCCTGAGAAAGAGTGAGACCCCGTCTCTACAAAAAATGGAAAAATTAGCTGAATGTGGTGGTGTGTGCCTGTAGTCCCAGCTGCCTGGGAGGCTGAGGCAGGAGGATTGCCTGAGCCCAGGAATTTGAGGTTGTAGTGAGCTATGATGATGCCATTGCACTCTAGCCCAGGAGACAAAGCAAGACCCTGTCTCAAAAAACAAACAAAAATTATAAAAATAAGTGTTCTTTTTAGCAATTAGCATCTTCTCTTTACACAAAAGGCCTTAGATATGGTTTGGTAGAAATTGCCAAAAGATACAAAGCAGATACATATACAAGCTCCAAGCCCTTCGGATTGCACTTCTGGATGTACTTTACGGAACGTGAATCAGCCAGCCATTTAGTGAAAAGAGTTATAAACCACAAGTTCTTTAGGTTCATTACCAGGGTACCTCAGTACTATTGAGCCCAGGAATAAAAGGAGGCCAAAATGTAGATAAGATTTCCTTCAGCCAACAAAGATCTATAAACAACTGGGTGATAAAAGGGAGGAATTATTTACTGTCTTAAGTTTTCTCCTAACTTTGCAAGATGACAGTGAAACTAGGGCTAGTTTAGGCATCTCCGAGTAGCCAGAAGTTTTATAATTGAATCGATCATACTGCTCTAAGTAAAATATAGCCTTCTTTTTAATATTTTCTGGTGCCCTTAGTGGAAAGAAGCCTTCCTTTTAATGAATATGGAGAAGGAAGTGTGCCTGGCAAAAGCCCTCTGAAAATAGGAACTTACTCTGGGTGTAACTCTTAAGTAAACAGACATGGTTTTTAAGCTGTTAATGGTAATGTTTCTTTGTTGCCATACCTATTTTCAGCTAGAATTTGGGAAGCTACTTGGGAAAAAATAGAATTTCTTTAGCATTGGTAGTTTTGATTCCAGCAACATTTGTATTTAGTAGATGAAGAAATACCTTACATATGTTGTGTTTATGCCCTAAAAAATGGTTTTTGTTTTCTTTTGAATAAATCTATTATTTAATCTACCCTGTTTCACGGCTTCCACCCTTCAGGGTCCTTTCTCATTCAAATCCTCCAAAAGGTTGGAAACCTCTTATTTTGAAGACTTCTGTTTCTACCAGGGAAGGGAGGAGGAGGTGGGAGCTATTCTTGGCCTTGTTCTCTGACCAGCTCTCAATGGAAGCATTCATTTCTAGAGAACATTCATTTCTTTCTCCATTAAATGTTTTCAATTATTATTAGGAAAAGAGGGCAATAGTTATTTTAAAATCAGACTACTTGACTATTGGTATTTGTAAGCCTGGTGTTGAATAAAATTATTTTGTACATTTTATGGGTCTTATTCATTTTCAGTTTTCAATCCTCCTTTCATTTTAGGAATGTCTCGGGGTAAATCAGTGATCAGCTCCCTCAGTATCATGGGGGGAAGCAGTGGGCCCCCCTATGATCGGGCTCATGTCACAGGAGCATCATCAAGTAGTTCTTCAAGCACCAAAGGCACTTACTTCCCTGCAGTAAGCAGTCTATTTTCCTTTGTTTTTTACTTTGAATGCTAAAAATATACAGGATCTTAGATTTTGAACTCATTCAGATGTGGCTGTTCAGTGATGGTAATGTAAAAATCATTTTTGAATATAGAATTTAGGCATAAAAGTCTCAAAGAAGGATTTGCCACACCCACCACTGTGCTCATAAATCTTTCTTTTAAGTTTACTGTGTAATAACCAGCATATTTGAAAGCACTAGCATTGATTTCGTATTTCAGGTAAATGTAGAACTACTGAATGGTACCTCTTGAGAGATGAGGGGTTTCATTTTATGACCTCCCAAAATAGGAAACACACCTGGAATTTCTCCTAAATCAGTAATTTTTCTGTAAATATTTACAATTTTAAAAGACCAGAACCTAGCTTCACTGACCTTGAAGCAATGACTTATAGATTACAGATATCTCTTCATCACTTTGCACATTTTAGCTATGATGAAATTTTGTCTTAGGGAATGAGGAGCCACAATCCTAAAGTACTTTTTGAGGTCAGTTCTTCGGAAAGCAAGAATTGTGCTAATAGTGTAATGGAAAGGAATACTAATAAGGATGAAGGAAGAAAAGTTGAAAGAAAAAATAGTCTCTGTCTAGGGTAGACAATTTTTATTTTACTATTTTAACTATTTTTTCTTTTAGATTTTGAACCCTCCACCATCCCCAGCCACAGAGCGATCCCATTACACTATGGAATTTGGATATTCTTCAAACAGTCCTTCCACTCACAGGTCATACAGGTAATACACATCCTTCTCTAATATAAGTTGAAGTATTTATTAGAAGTAAGTTGTACCCTAGTTGTGGACTTGAGGTAACCCCAAATGAGTAGATGACGGTGACCAGAGAGAGAATAGCCATCTTGTCTTGGTATGCTGGCATCGCCCCTACCACAAATCCTTTCTTTTCAAGTATTATACATTTTTTTAAAGAGAGTCACAAATGTTGGCTTTTAGAATAATAAAGCCCCAGGCTTTGGTAGTATTCTGAGGAAAAGTTACCCCACCAGAGTGACTGATTTCAAAATAGGTTACCGCTCAGGTTAAATTTGATTGATATTCTAAGAATGAAAAATTAGGTAAGATAATGGTTCAAAGAATTGTGAGAGCATAAAAGAGCAGGGATATTAAGAACACAGAATTTAAGAGAAGTATGTAAGTTGAGCCCTTGCTTACATATGTTATTATGATCTGGAGTAAAAGATATTTCATGTAGTTGCATGGAATAATCAAGACTGACCAAAGTAAATGAAATGTATTTGTAAGTCAAAAAAGGAGAAATGATGCCTTTGCGCTAATTTGTGAGTCTGTTACACGGAGTGTTGAACAGGTCAAGTATTCTTGTGTCAGGTTTACTCATCCTCCCTCTTTGAAAGGCCAACAGCTCCATACTCTCTGTCTAAACACTGAGTGCCCAGTGTTTATGAGCATCCCTCAAGTGCCTGTTACTTTCTAGAGACGGTGTTTTCTGGCATTTCAGTCAAATTGGCCTGCTGTAACCTTATACATGTATAGAAATAAAGTGGAAACCACTTAAAGTATTCAGAATTCTCATTTCAGTTTTATTATAGCCTTGGCTCTGCACTGGTTTTTGTTTTTGTTTTGGTTTTTTGAGAGAGAGTCTCACTCTGTTTCCCAGGCTGGAATGCAGTGGCATCATCATAGTTCACTGCAATCTCTAACTCCTGGGCTCAGGTAATCCTCCTGCTTCAGCCTCCTGAGTAGCTGAAAGTACAGGCACATACTGCCACGCTTGGCTAATTTTCCTATTTTTTTTGTAGAGATGGGGTCTCACTGTTGTCCAGGTTGGTCTTGAATTCTTGGCCTCAAGTGATCCTCCCACTTTGGTCCCCCAAAGTACTAGAATTATGGGTGTAGAGACTGTGCCTGGCCTTGAACTGATGGTTTTTATGATTTGTTGTAAGTTGCTTTTCCTGCTACAAGTTTGTTCTAAGAGGCCAAAATAGAAAAACAGAAACATGAAAATTGAAAAATGAGAAAAAAACCTAAAATTTTATTTTTAAAAATTAATTTTAAAATTCAAATTGAATAAAACTCTGATCAAAATAAACATAATAACATCAAAAGCAATTCTCGTTTAGTCATTTTCCATGTCTCAAATTAAGCTGAATTTCTTTTTCCTCTGAGTCAAAACTTTTATCATTTGTTGAAATTTTTATCTAAACTAGGACATACAAGAATTTTGTTAGTTCAATTTCTTTCTTTCTTTCTTTTTTTTTTCCACAAAAATGGAGGTATTTGGACTTTTAAAGGTTGAGGTAAGAAATTTTACCAAGGCCTGACACCTGATTAGACAGAAAGATAGACTAAAAAAACCCAGAACCAAACAAAACAAAACCATGACATCATGCCAATGTTGATAGTAGTAGCAGCCTTCGAGAACCTGCTCAGCAGGTCATGTAACTTTTGGTCTTCTGGCAGCTGTTTCTTTTGAGGCAAGCCCAAGTGATAGAAAATGGTTTGTGTCCTGGGATATTATCTTATGGCTCTGTATATCACTCGGTATTTTTTGAGTTGTTATATCCGGATTTTTTTTGTTTGCTTTTTGGGATTTTTTTGAGCTAGGGTCTCACTTTGTTGCCCAGGCAAGAGTGCAGTGGCTTCATCATAGCTCGCTGCAACCTCAAACTCCTGGGCTCAAGTGATCCTCCTTCCCTCAGCCTCCCAAATAGCTGGGATTACAGGTGCATGCTACCACACCTGGCTGATTTTTCTAATTTTTTTGGTAGAGACAGGGTCTGGCTATGTTGCTCAGGTTGGTCTTGAACTCCTATCCTCAAGCAATCCTCTTGCCTTGGCTCCCAGAGTACTGGGATTACACGCATGAGCCACCATGCCTGGCCCAGAAATGTTATGTTGGTTTTATCTTTGCTCTTATCCCTACTCTTGTAGTCACTTTGATGAGAAATCTTATGAATAAGTCTTTGTTTTGGATAAATATATGATTAACTTTACCATATTTAGAATAAAAAGGTATAAGAAGTTACAAATAGAAGCAGGAATGACGGAAAATCCAGCACTTTGGGTCAGCTCTTATTTTCATTAGTACGTTGCTTTATTTCCAATGCCTTTTTCTTTTGCCATGCTACATGCTTAACAGCTATAGATTACTTGAAAAGATAGATAAACAAGTGTAGGAAATAAATTAGGCCTCTGATATAGATATTAGAAAATTAACTGGCCCTACTTGAGTATTTAAAATTGATCATTGTGATGTTTAAAGCTGCTCTTATGACATTATACTTGTCTATACACAGGGAATGAAAACTATTTTCCCCAAACCACAGCAATTTCCCTTTACTAATAGTAACAGTAATGGGATAGATATGCCCCTTAGGCTGTCTACCAAAATTCAGCCTGGGTTATACAATATTTGAGTTTTAAAGAAAGAAATGAAGTCTTCAGACATCATTAAATTAATTATTCATCAGGTAAATTATCATCAGGAGCAGTTAACGAATGTTGAGGGAATGCTGACATGTTTGAGTAGTATAAATTATGTAAAGACCCAGTCTTCTCATAGGTAATGAAACTACAGAAATGGCTCAGGTCTGCTTTGTAAACTACATGCAAAATGTATGTAACAGAGATTTTTCCAAAGGTGACTAAGTACAGCTTTGAATTGTCCTTTTTTATTCTGTGACACAGTTTAACTTGACTATAAAAAAGCACATCCAGAGGCTAGATTGGGTTCACCCCTGCACTCCAGTCATTTTTGCTTGCCTCTAGTTCCATTTTATTTACAAATGAGAAAATATATGCTGTCTTCCTCTGCCAATCTGCCACTGAAAACTGCCTCTTGGTCTGTGCAGATTTAAATTGCAAGAGCTTATTGTTTTCAAAGTGAAGTTTGCATCTAATATTTCCGTATTCTGATAGGGAAAATCATTTTTTTGTAAAACTGACTCTGTTTCTCTTTATTTTCTCCCCATACCAGCTACCGGCCATATAGTTACCGGCACTTTGCACCCCCCACCACACCCTGCAGCACAGATGTTTGTGACAGTGACTATGCTCCTAGCCGGAGAATGACCTCAGCGGCAACAGCCAAGGGCTATACCAGTGACTTGAACTATGATTCAGAACCTGTGCCCCCACCTCCCACGCCCCGAAGCCAATACCTGTCGGCAGAGGAGAACTATGAGAGCTGCCCACCTTCTCCGTACACAGAGAGGAGCTATTCTCATCACCTCTACCCACCGCCACCCTCTCCCTGTACAGACTCCTCCTGAGGAGGGGCCCTCCTCCTCTGACTGCCTCCAACGAGAAAATGTAAATACAAATTTGGTTGAGATCTGGAGGGGGGGAGGGAACTATTAGAGAAGGATGAGGCAGACCATGTACAGTTAAAATTATAAAATGGGGTAGGGAATACTGGAGATATTTGTACAGAAAAAAAGGATATTTATATATTTTCTTAAAACAGCAGATTTGCTGCTTGTGCCATAAAAGTTTGTATAAAAAATAAATTTGTACTAAAAGTTTTATTTTTGCAAACTAAATACACAAAGCATGCCTTAAACCCAGTGAAGTGACTGAGTACAAAGGAAACAGGAATAATAAAGGCATCACTGACCAGGAATGTCTTGGCTTTATTGATACCAAAAAAAAAAAAAAAAAGAAGAAGAAGAAAAATTAAATCCATCTCAGAGCAGCAAACCATAGATACTTGGAAGTAGCCAAATAGCCTTCATGTTCATTAACATTTGAGGGCCAACAAGTTAAGAAATCACGAAAGAAAAAAAAGGAACTAATACTAACCTTGGACAAAGGGCTTTTTCTCTATGAATCCATCAATGTTAGTGAGGGAAATAGATACTTATAAAGATTCACTCTGAGTGATGCTGTTTAGGAGAGATCGGCTGTCTGGTAAGACGCCGGGGGGCTGTGTGCGTGCAAGCCTTCTGTCCCTACCTTAGGATCCACACCTCTGTTACAAATTATTTTTTCTCTAGGTACGTTCACTTCGTTGCCTCCCCCAGCAACTTTGTAGGCCATTTTGCCAGGATACCGTGATTTATTCAACCCTTTTATCTGAGGAATTAATTAAATGGAATTTTCTAAATTAAAATTTGATTTTAATATTTCTACTAGCTCCATTCCCCAGTAGGCTTAGCTCTTCAATTTGCTGTTTTTGCATAATGATCAAAAGTTAGACATATTATTGCTCTTCTTTACTTCCAAGATTGTTGTAATGCTCATTAAAATGTCTTTTTACAACACCTATAGACAGTGTTTAAGAATTTCAAATTTAACCATTATGTTTTTGTTGTAAATTAATCATATATCCTTGCAGTACTTTCAGCATATAATACCACAATATGAAATCATTTTATATATATTTTTCTGAGTAAAACATTTAAATATATTCTGGTTAGAGACAATCTATTTAAAAAGAAAATTTTTTGTTATCATTAGGTTTTCCCTATATTAATGGTTTGTGACATTTTCATGTTCTTTAGGCCAATTTTTCTCAGAATGATGTCTACGTACATACCTCTTCTAATGTGTGACATGAGTTTAATATCTTTCTGTTACCCACTGTGAATGTTACGTTTTCAAATTATTCACAAATTATTCTTATAATCAACTCATATATTTTTATACGTGTTCTCTCTTATCCCATTATGGATTAATAATTTAACAAATTTAACAATGGGGATTCAATAAGAAGGCAAATTGTTAACTTCTCAGCTGTCAGAACTTGGGTGGAGGGGAATAATGGAAGCCTCTTTTGTAATCTGCCTGACCTGCTGTCTCGTATGGTACTGGGGCTGCTACATCTTCAGCTATCAGGGCTGACCTGCAGAATGATTCTAGCACTGCTCTGCCACCTTGCCAGAAGTTAGTTTCCTGCTTTTTACATGTGTCTAGCACTTCTCTGCTAAAATTGAATGTGTTTTTAAACTAATGTATTTTTACATTAACGAGCGTTGGTCAGTTAGTTATTGAATGATTTTTTTCTTTTTTAACTGTCTTGCTGAGGCCTCTCCAAGTTTCAGGGCCCAAGAGAAAACAACAGAAGAAAGGATTCAGGATTTTGGCAGAGGTGAAATAACTTTTCAAGCAATTAAAAAAATACCTAAGTCAACTTTTTATAGAGAAGAAATATGGTTTCAGAATAATGCTCAGATTGTTGGTGACAGTTTCTAAGATCAGGTGCACTTGATTTTGCTTATAAAAATGGTAAACCATCAGTGTCTTGCATTTCAATCAGACAAGCATTAATTCCTCCTGTTGCCGGAACTAAGCGCTCACAGCCTAAATCAAAATGGACACGGAACTTGCATTCTGTGACAGACAGGAGCACATGATGCTTCAGTAAAGATGGAAAGGTTAGCAATAACTGGGTATCAGTTAGAATTTGAGAATTCTATATGTTTACATTTTTAAATGTGCATCTTTATCTGGTGGGCTTCCCATGTGGAAACTTGCACTATAATAAACTAAGAAGAATATTGCCTTGTTGTATCTCAGTCCAAGTGCTTGTACTGCGATGGCAATGGCCTCTTCTTGCAAAATACTAATTTGTGTGCCAATTTGTTTGAAATTATTTGAAGGCAGTTCAGCTTAATGTCAGTATCCTCTTTCTGGGGTAGTTGAGATGAATTCTTAATATTTCTTGGAGTACTTTTTAATGAGAGAATTGTCAAATTCGGGAAAGATTTAAAGATTACATGGACAGTTAAGCTTAAGTAAACCATATCTTGATTATTAAACACAAGAAGTTTATTTGGAAAAACTGAGGAGAAAAACATGAAACCACAAATTGGGGAAAAATGAAAAAGGATTTTTAAATTTGGCTTATTATTAAATTCATTATCCAGGGGGAAGAATGAATAAAATTTCATTAGATTGCTTAAATAAAAATATTTATTTTGAACATGTGTCCTAGCATATACCCATTAACTGATGTGATTAAAATCATCTGAGAAATGAACTTGAGCATAAATACCACAGTAAGCTTTCTGCATTGGAGTGGTCTTTTATAACTAAGGTTCTGGACTTGGCTCCTACAGAGCCCCGGTCTTCTGAACAGTGGCCCATGAGGTATTGTTGCTTAAGTCAGATAATGACATTCACAGGAGGAAAACAAAGTCAGTTGATAGAATTTGCTTAGTATTAATTTTTCTTCCATTAAATTTTATTATGCTTTTGGCACTTTGCTGCCAATTCCTCTATACTAGCATATCACGAGATGTCCGTTTAGCAAATTATATAGTAATTTTAATTTTAATATAAAAATGCTTTGTGATGTACCATGAAGAGATGTCTTGTCCTTTAATAAGTTTGAGAACAACTATTCTATAGAGACAGTAGGTATTTAGAAATGAAGACTTTAATTAAAGTACATTTTTATCTAATATAGGTCGGTAATTGGGAGGGAGGGGCTTTGAGCAGTACAATTTTATGATGATTTCAAGAGTTGTATTTCTTTATTTAAAAATACCCTAAAGTCAATAATTTGTATAAGGGCAAATCATTCAATATTTGAAGTGTAAAAATAGCCACCAGATAGATAGCAGTCAGTTTGGGGGGAACATCTTTTGTTTTGCTGTAAAAGCCTGTTGATGAAGAATACTTCGAGTTAGTAGCTGTGGCTTACCTAGCCTGTTAATAAAATGTGTTTATTTATGTGACCTGACACCAGTAGTCATAATAGAGACTCGAGAGGCTTGGCTTAACCAAGCCAGCTTCTCTGCAATAAATAGGCTGCTGCTGTTTTATTCTCTAGTCCTGTGCCTAGAATAGATTCTTAGAAATGTAGTTTTGAAGTGTTTTATTTCTTCCAGTGGAAACCTTGCCACCTCATTGATTTGCATGCCATAGGAGCTACATATTTGTTACCATTACATATCTAACAAGATTCAGAAACAAAACTGTTGGGCTTTTCAGACGCCAAATATGTCATACTTTTAAAAGATGTTTGATGCCTAAGTCTATATGTGGCATCCATACTTAGTCTGGAGTGTAGATATGAGTATGTTTACCAGTATCAGTTGGTCAACAAATATTTGGGGCATCTACAAGTGAGACTGTACACTAAGTGTGGACTGAGTCCTGAAAAACTTTGTAAGTGTTATTTAAAACATTAGCAGAATTCCTAAACTCAAGAAATACAGTTTTTGTTTGGTATTCCTTATCCCAAGCCTAAAATGAGCCAAGAGAAATAATAGAACATTTTAGAAAGTACTGGAAGCATATGAGTAGTTTCGGACTTCTGGGATTGCATCATTTCATAATTCTCAAAATCTACCTTTTGAAATTCTCAAAGTTTTAGAGTAGAGGACTTTGGGCCTCAAGCATAAAAGTATACATTTATAATTTTTAAAAATGTAAAATTATGAGCATTGTGAGTCCGTATCTTCAGAATATGTCTGTTTCACCTGATTCCACGTCGCATTAAACTAAGTCTGTACCTGAGTGGGCAGGGCGGTCAATTCTTACATTGATCAATTACTGACTCTACCCTTACCCTCCCTCGATTGAGGTAAACTTTACTGTTTTTCTTGAAGCATTTTAAAATCATTCTTAAGTTTATTGCTGGAAAAAATCTTGACTTCACAGATGGAATTACAAACGAAATGATTACTTGTACTTAGAAGTGGAGTATAGACCTAACAAAACTGTTAGATTTCCCACCATCATTTAGGATTTGCCCAAAACCAACACCAAAGAATTATACACAACATGCTTTTGCTTAATTGTCCATTTTGGTTTTGTTTTTTAATCAAGTATAAGCAGGATAGGGATAGAAATATATTTATATATCTATAGATATCAATGCCAAAATATGGGTATTACAAGGAAAATAAAATCTGATTCAATCCAGTATTACATGAAGTTAATGAGGTTAATGGGTTAATGAGGAATATTTTAAAAGAGTAAAGAGGATACCAAGAAGCTTAAACTGGACTAGCCTTATTTGCAAGTGAAGGATCTGGTGCTGCTTTCAGTTGTTTATCCTTTATGTTTTTTTTTTCCTTAAGCTTTAATCTTTGTCATTGTCTTAAAGTCAACTGGTGTTTCTTGTTCATTGACTTTGGTACGATGGTGCTTTGCAAGGATGTATTTATATTATAATGGCCAACATTTGGTCAGCCCTTGTCCACTTATTCACTTCCCCCCTTTTGTAAAATAAGTGCTTTAATTATAAACTGTATAAAAATGCCTTGTATAAATCCCCTTTTTGATTATTACAATAAACTGAATGGTAACAAATGTTGATTTTTATAATAAAACAGCGGAAAAATAAAAGTGTCATTTCTTTTTAGCAAGAAATTAAAACAGTAGCTCGTGCTTTGCTGTGATGTAATTAAGACTTTCAGACACAACAAAACCCAGCTTTATTATTTGCATTTCAGATATTTAATATATACGGCTCTGAAAGAGAGGTTTGAGAAGGGCTGTTGTTTGGTTCAATGCTGACAGCACCTGTGATTGGGAACAGAGAATAAGGAATAGTCTGTGCTCCAGGACTGTTCTTGTTTTCAGTAAACTCCTAGAAGGAATCTCGGTGTGGACTCTGAGCATCCCACTTTCTTCCCCTCCCCCAAATGAGCTTATAAAATGAACGTTGCTTTTCCTGGTGTTGAGACTAATATGATGTAATTACACTTTTTCCTTGAGGGTGGATCGTGGTAAAACCAATGAGAGCTCAAAACTTCCAGGTCCCTGTTTGATACTGACTTTACTAGTTTGATAGGAAGGGAAGAAAGCTGCTTTTTAATTTACAGTAGTTGGGCTCAAATATCAATTAAA